GCATTACCACCATAAGTAAGATTTACATTTTTTACATTTTCATGTACATTTACCATACAAATATGCAATGTTATGTAAGTGTGATAATGTGGTACGGTGTGTACTATAAAAGTGTGATAGTGTTGTAATGTAGTGTATGTAGGTCTAGTTAAGCTGAATACTTTCTTTGCTGCCACACCATGACGGTGGCCAACCAAAGAGTTCTTGTTACTTTGGCTACCGCTCACATATAAATTTTATTTTCTTACAACTTAGTATTTCTTAACTTTTGTTTACTGTTGCTATAAAATGTATCTAAATGCCCCATATAGGGTAAATAAAGAAAGAATTTAAGAGCCGAATTAAGCATTTTTGCGTGCGTAGCTCAGACGCGTTTTTATGACTCCCTTTACTCAATTGCTAACATGAATATGAATTGCTTCAAATTACAAATGAATTAGTAATGTCCCAAGGATACACGTAATAACATTTGGGTTATAAATAACTTTTTAATTAATAATGCATTTAAAACTGAGTTTTTTTGACGTCATAACGATAGTTCAGCGAATTCAACCATCGCGGTACACCATAACTATAAGACTTCGCTCTGCTAGTTTAAGTCACTATTGAATTTATCCAAGCTAGGTCACATTAATATTCGTGTAAAAGGTAAGCTTTGAATCTGCTCCGTTCTCTTTTTTACTTTCAGATTACTAATTTCGTTTAGGAAATTTTACAAATAATGTACTCGATAAATCACAGCAGTCGCCAAAATTTGGAATTGGCTTGAACAGGTTACTTTGTGTTTGGCTACCTTCCGGTAAACTGACATTAAACTGAAACAAACTCGTTTAAAGTGGCGCTTTTTTTTCAAGTTTTGGCGGAATGAAAAAATCTTACTTCACTGTTGATTAAGTAAACCGAACTCCTTGCCTAAAATTTAAACCTGAGCATTTTGGCTAAACTTAAAACATTTAAAAAATATGGAAATATTAATTTTTTATCAGACACATGTTTTCGGCTTATTTAAATTGATTTGTTCAAATGATATTATGAATACAGACAAACTAGTGATAAAATTAGCAACGAAAGTCATATGCAAAGACAATAGAAGAAAAGGAAACAAAAAAACCGTTACATGGTGTCAGTACACAGATTGGGGTACTGTCTGGTGTTACAAGAAGAATATATATATATTAACTTATATATTGTCAAAGCGCAATTAGAAGAACTATTGAGTTTCAACAAAATGTGAGAATTTTTTTATCTGCTAAGACTTTGCTCTTTTATGGTGTTACAAGAGGAATAGATTAACTTACAATTTGTTTTAGCGCTATTAGAGCAGATGTTGAGTTTCAACAAACTGTGAGAATTTTTATCCGTTAAAACTTTGCTCATTTATCGATCCTGTTTGAGAAAAAATGAATAACGAGAGGTCTCTCCAATATAACGAGAGTTATTACATCCTGCACAAGTGCATAGATAAACCACTAGGCATTTAA